CAGCACCGACTTGCCCCCACGTCCAGATTTTGCACCGCGACCCCAACCGGTACCTCCTTGTTGGTCGTTGGAGTCGTCGTCTTTCTTTGCACCGCGTCCAGCACCACCGAAGCCACGTCCTTTGCCACGTCGGCTCCCTTGCATCCCGTAGCCGCTGCTGCCGTCGTCTCCACCCCTCAGTTGGCGGCGACGGAAGTCCTCCTCCAGAATCTTCGTCCGCACCCACTCGAGCGTCCACAAGCTCTGGTTCTGCGGCAGGCTCAATCCGCTCGTAAATTGAAGCCACGATTCTGGCAGCAGCGAGAGCATCTTCAAGCACTTTGTTTGCTCCGGGTAGGTGATTCCCGCGGTCGCCAACTTCGCGTAGAGGTCGCGCAATTTGTCCAGGACAGGTTGCACCGGCTCTCCCTCGCTCAGGCGCAACGCGGACAGCTCCCTCTCCAGCATCAATGTTGCAACAACGGAGGTCGGGGCGTGCAGCTCCTTCAACACCGTCCACGCCTTCGAACCACACTCAGCCTCCGGCAGCAGGTGCATGACGTGGTGACGCTGGTTCAGCTCCAAACTCTGCGACATCAAGTAGTAGCCAGCCGAGGCGCGCTCGTCCCAATCTTCCTGAAGGGCGGGGTCACTCGGTCTAGGCTCCTCCCCAATCATTAGTTTCAGCAATCCGATTTGACGGAAATAAAGTTGCATTTTCCAGGCCCAATCATCATAGCCCTCACCATTGAACTTCTCGACGGTGAAGTTTTTCAGCACCTCCTTGATCAGCGAGCCCTGGCTTGTTCGCGCTCCCCTTGGCGCAGAAACACCAGAATCATGGCTGCCGCTACGATCTTGGGCTGAAGTTTCACCAGCTACCGCCGAGGTGTTGCCCGCCATAGCTACCTATATCGAGGATCACTATAACGCAGCTCTGATACCAGCTTGTTGGTGTAAGGGCCTAATAAACTCAAGCTATTAAGACTTTATCACACTTAAAACCTCTCCTCGGGGTCACCTCCAAGGGTCCTTGGGTGCCTGGTACAAGACCAGCCCCTATCCTCGGGTCCGACTTTGTAGAGAGAGGGATCAAGAGGGACTTAGTCAAAACAGCAAGAGTACCTTGAACGTCGCGCAGCGTATCGTGCAGACCGTCGATCGGATTAAGCTGAGAATTTCCTATATCGAAGCTCACTCTAAGAGCTTTAAAATAAGCCAAGTTGCCTCGCGAAAAGTTCTGCCATTACGAAGTTATGGCTCGGACAGCGTTAGCCTAGCGTTGGAGTGCTAGCGTACTAGCGTTGACTCGGGTAGCATTCCGCCGTCGCACCGCGTAGAAAGAAATTCCAGCAAGGAAGGAATTCGCTTGAATCAATTTCACTATATTCAGGTACAAACAGAGAAGGAATAAATAGCTCTAGCTAGCAAGGACCTTGGGAATCAACCTGGGAACAACCAGGGATGATCCCAAATAATTCCAAGCAACAGAACCAACCTGGCTGGACAAAATAGCAGGTGATAGGTTGGTGAACAACCTCTGGTTCTGTTTTTCCAACCTGGGAAAACAACAACCAAGTTCAGGTCCTAAAAACAGAACCTGTTTTGTCTTTGCCCAACCAGCCAAATGCTGGTTCCGCTGGTTTCCCCTGGCCCTGTAGCATGCAGATACAGACAAACAACATCCAACCTTCACCTAAATTGTACCCCTATAGTGCCTGCCCTGCTACACTATAGTCAACCAAACAAAACAGTACAATTTTGAGTTGGATAGAACTGAATCTGCGCAATCAAGTAAGTTGAACCGCAAAGCTTCCATCTTGGGTTCCTTTGCGAGCTCGTCCTTTCTGCTTGTACTGTTCAAAGCGCGTACAATGTTATGCCGAAGCGCACATTTTGCGAGTACCTGCAAATGCTTCAAGCGAAAATTGCGAAAGCAAACAAACACACAAACATACCATTCACACGCAAATGCATTCGCACACGCATACTCGTACAAACAGACGGCAGGATGTCGTGCAATGTGAATTTGCACCCAACACCTACCACCTGCTATTTTGTCCAGCCAGGTTGGTTCTGTTGCTTAGAATTATTTGGGATGATCCCTGGTTGTTCCCAGGTTGATTCCCAAGGTCCTTGCTAGCTAGAGCTATTGATTCCTTCTCTGTTTGTACCTGAATATAGTGAAATTGATTCAAGCAAATTCCTTCCTTGCTGGAATTTCCTTTCTACGCGGTGCGACGGCGGAATGCTACCCGAGTCAACGCTAGTACGCTAGCACTCCAACGCTAGGCTAATGCTGTCCGAGCCATAACTTCGTAATGGCAAAACTTTTCGCGAGGCAACTTGGCTTATTCTAAAGCTCTTATAGTGAGCTTCGATATAGTAAATTCTCAGCTTAATCCGATCTACGGTCTGCACGATACGCTGCGCGACGTTCAAGGTACTCTTGCTGTTTTGACTAAGTCCCTCTTGATCCCTCTCTCTACAAAGTCGGACCCGAGGATAGGGGCTGGTCTTGTACCAGGCACCCAAGGACCCTTGGAGGTGACCCCGAGGAGAGGTTTTAAGTTTGATAAAGTCTTAATAGCTTGAGTTTATTAGGCCCTTATACCAACAGCAGCACCCCCAGTCTCAGCACTCCCAAGCTCAGCACCCCCAGGCTCAGCACCCCCAGGCGCAGCACCCCCAGTCTCAGCACCCCCAGGCTCAGAACCCTCAGCAGCACAAGAGTCACCAGTAACCTCGACAGGCTCGACTGCGTCTACCTAGGACACACCTGAAGGGGCAGGACCCTGAGGGGGGAGGGGGGCTACCGGGGGGGGACTTAGTAGAAGGAAGAGCGGGGGAGGGGGGAGGGACGGAGTGCGGTAGGGGAAGAGGCGGTAGTAGGGGACCGACTTGTCAAACGTGACGTCCTGGGAGAATAGAACACGGCGAGAGGTGGGGTGGTAGAACTGCCACCCAAGCGCGTCAGAGGGGAACCCCAGGAAGACGCAAGGAGCAGCACGAGGGGACAGCTTGTCCGCAGACAAGTCGCAGACAAACGCCCGAGATCCCCAGACCCAGAATGCCGACACATCGCCAACCTTTCCCGTCCACAGCAAGGCTGGGGAGGTCTCCGGCCTGGAGACCATGGAGTGGAGGTTAATCCGATGCGCCGCGTACCTCACCGCAAACGGCCACAGAAAATGGGGGGCAGCCGCATGCATCATAGACGTACGAGCGACGTCCATGACCATGCCAATGCGGCGCTCAGCAATCCCATTTTGCTGCGGGGAGTCCGGAAGCGTGAAGGTCTGACGGATGCCTCGTGCACGACAGTAGGCTCTCATAAGGCCAGAGGAAAACTCTCCGCCTCTGTCCAAGTGCAGACGCAGAACAGGAAAGTCCAAGCCAAAGCTCTGCCTGAGCTGGAGACGAGCTGCGCGGATCCAGTCGATCAGCACCTCAGTGACATCACCCTTGCTGTGCATGGGGAAGACCGCAGTGTAACGCGAGTAGTCGTCAACAACTAGCAGGAAGTAGTGCTCGTGACCCTGTCTACGGACGCGGGATGGGCCCCACACGTCCATGTGAAGTGTCTGCAGCGGGGCCTCTGTCGGAGGAAACTGGGAGGAGTGAGGGGCAGCCTGCTGGCGCCCCTCGACACAAGGGACACAGGTAGGGCCAGGGCCCTGAGGAAAGGGAGGGAGGGACCGGGGGAGACCAGAAACAAGAAGACGAGAGGCCATGCCTCTGAGACAAAGCAGAGAGGGGTGACCAGGGCGGTGGTGCCAGAGGAGAGTCTCGTGAGATAGGAGACGACACGAACAGGGGGCAGACTCAGGACCAGACCTGGACGCTGCAGCAAACACCTGATCCGACGCAGCTACCCTACCAGACTCAGCAACTGGAGGAGACACAGTGGTCAGTGTGTACAGGCTCGACCTCGGCTGACGTGTAAACGTAGCCAGGTGGCGGCCTGTGCTAGCCTCTGTGCAGTGCGTCACCCGCTAACGCGCAGGAGTGAACTGGTATACTCCCCCATCCTGCAGGTCAGCACCACTCACCAAGTTTGTAGAAAATGAGGGGAGGTAGAGACCAGACAGGGTGCCAGAGGGAGCCGCTGGACACGGGAGGACTGTGGAGAAGTGAGACAGGACAGGACCCCCAGAGGGGTCAGCCAGAGACACCGCGAGCGACTGACTAAGCGGCGTGAGTGTGGTGCGGTCCCGAAAGAAGGAGCGAGAAGCCCCCGAGTCAAGGGTGAAGGTGAGGGAGGCCGAAGCCGACGATGTACCTGAGATCGCAGGCTCACCAGTTCCTGAGGACGCAGACGCACTAGCACCTAGAGCAGCAGCCTCGCAAGCACCTAGGGCAGCACCCACACCAGCACCTAGAGCAGCAGTCTCAATGCCCGGATCAGGCGGGAAACACCGGTAACAGTCACCCTCATGACTAATAGTCATAGCATACGTGGCAAAAAGAATAGCATCAAAATCAAGATCATAGATGGCAACTCCCGCCCTAGACAGCTCGCCCTAGCGAGGGATCTCTGTGGCCTCCGGGAACTGGTGACGCCACGCGTCCGTCAGGCGGCCAAAGCAGCGCTAAGTGGGGTGCGCACCCCCACACTGCTCATCCGCACGGTCGCCGGTGCGTAGGACGTAGGTGCACGGACCAAAACCCCCACCCCGCTGGCATTCAGTGTACCACTCTCGGAGCTGCTGAGGGGACAGGGTCTCACGACCGCACTGCTGTTGCTGACGCGGACCAAGACCAGAACCACTCCTCTGCGTAGACCTGGGACCAGCTCCACCGCCACCCCCGCCGCCTCCGCTACCACCGCCGCCTCCGCCGACGCCTCCACCGCCGCCACCTCCGCCACCTCCGCTCCCACCGCCACCGCCGCTGCCGCCTCCGCCTCCACCGCCGCCACCGACACCTTCTCCCCCACCTCCACTCCCACCGCCATCCCCACTCCCCCCGCCGCCTCCACCTCCACCTCCACCGCTCCCGCTCGCTCCTCTAGTGCCTCTGCCCCCCTTGCCTTTGCAAGAGCGGCGTCTCCCGCTAGGGGCAGACGCCGCACCGACCGACTTGAGACCAAGAAGGTCGGCCGTAGCAGTAGAGGCAATAGAGGGCAGAAGGGGGGAGGGGGAGCACCCCTCAAAGATTGGGGTGCGCGGGTCAACACGAGAGGCCCCTACAGCGACTATGCCCTTCTTGGCGCTAGGAGGGACTTCTCGAGGAGGTCAAGAGTGAGAGTGGTGGGACAGACTGAGAGGAAGTGGTCGTTGACTACGCGAAGGGAGTCATGGAGGCGAGTGACTATGTCCTAGAGTGATGTACATGGGGAGGGGGGGGTTCTTGGCGCAGAAGTCAGCAGGAAGCGCAGCGCGGTAGCGAGTGTCACTAGTGCGGAGGTGCGTAATGAGGTCAGCGAGTGTGGGAAAGGCAGCAAGGTCTGGGAAGAGGTACGGTAGCATGAGACGGCTCAGTGCAGTAGTGGCGGAGTTGCGCGCAACTACAGCGTCGTACAAGGTCTGAGCACTCTTGTATTGACTAAAGTGCGCTCGCTCGGAGATAGGGAGGTGGCGACGCACAGCAAGACGCGCAGCAGCGTCACGCGTTGCCCACTGGGAGCGAACAGTGGCGCCAGCATCAGCAACAGGGCAGGAGAGGTGCCAGAGGTGAGGTCAAAGAGAGAGAGACCGTCTGCCCTGTCGCACTGTAAGAACAGCTGCAGGTCATCTACCCAGACGTCAAAGTCAATGGCTCGAACCTCGGTGTCAAAAGCGAGGAGACTAGGGGTAGCCATGACAACAGTAGACTAGCAGCGCACACAGTAGGGAAAGGGCAGTGCAGTGACAGAGGCGCTGTGCTCACCAGACGGGGCTACTCGGGCGGCTCGGAGGTAGGGCGGCTCGGCGGCTCAGCTGCACAACGGCTCGGCTGCTGGGCAGCTCGGCTGCAGGGCGGCTCGGCTGCTAGGCGGCTCGGCTGCAGGGCGGCTCGGCTGCTCGGCTGCTGGGCGGCTCGGCTACAGGGTGGCTCGGCTGCTCGGCTGTGTGGCTGCTCAACCACTGGGCGGCTCGGCTGTGCTGCTGCAGGGCGGCGCGGCGGTCGGCTGCTCGGCTAGGTGAGGCGGCTCGGGCGGCTCGGGTGGTGGGCGCGCTGCAGCAGGTGACGGGGCCGCAGGGAAGGCGGCGGGGCCGCAAGTGAGGGCGGCGGGGACAGCAGGTAAGGGCGGCGGGGACCGCATGTAAGGGCGGCGGGGACCGCAGGTGAGGGCGGAGGGGCCGCAGGTAAGGGCGGCGAGGCCGCAGTTGAGAGCGACAGGGCCGCTAGGGCGGTGCGCGGGGTCGACGGGCGGCGCAAGAAGCCGCTAGAGCGGCGCGCAGAGTCGACAGGCGGCGCAAGGGGCCGTTAGGGCGGCGCGCGGGGTCGACAGGCGGCGCAAGGGGCCGTTAGGGCGGCGCGCGGGGTCGACAGGCGGCGCAAGAAGCCGCTAGAGCGGCGCACAAAGATTCTGGAGGAGGACTTCCGTCGCCGCCAACTGAGGGGTGGAGACGACGGCAGCAGCGGCTACGGGATGCAAGGGAGCCGACGTGGCAAGGACGTGGCTTCGGTGGTGCTGGACGAGGTGCAAAGAAAGACGACGACTCCAACGACCAACAAGGAGGTACCGGTTGGGGTCGCGGTGCGAAATCTGGACGTGGGGTCAAGTCGGGTGATGGTGGCAAAATGAAAGGGAGTTGCTGGTATTCTGAGAAGGAAGCGCACCCCTGGTTTTTGTGCTATAAGAAACCCGATGGATGGACCCCCCAGAATCGTCACCAGGATGGCGGCGCGCGGAGGAACCAGAAAAAGTGCGCCAACATGGTCGCTGATTCGTCCGACAACAACCCGAAGGGCAACGGCGGTACGGAGAAGAAGAAGGAGCGCACCGCGGGCCAATTCTTTCATGTGGGAGACAAGGGGGAGCAAGGAGACGCATCTGCTAAGGTTGGAGCAGAGCTGCACCCCCTGGACTATTGGGTGTTGGACACAGGCGCTGCTTGGACAATGACGCCGCGCAAGGACCTGCTGGACAACGTACGCGCTGCACCGATTAACGAGGTGTGCTCTGCCTCTGGACACATGTTGAAGGTGGCTGGTGCGGGACGAGCTGCATTTAAGGGAGCGGATGGCAAGCCGGTGGTGCTGCACGACGTTCTCCTCGTCCCCGACCTGAAGGCCAACCTGATCTCCCTCCATAAGCTTGGCAAGGCTGGGGTGAACACCAACACGAATGGGGCTCGCACTTATAAGGGGAAGCTGGGCAATCGGGTGCTTTGGGATCTGCACAAGAGCAAGGACGTGTACAGATCTATGTGGCAGCTGCCGGAGCTGGCGTGGCACGGTGAGGGGCAGGCTGGAGAGGGGTCTGCAATCCAGAGAGTGCAACGCCGTTGGAGGGGTTGGAGTGAAAGTGTCGGCTAGATCTGGGGAGACGAATTTGGCAACTGCACACCGACGTTTGGGGCATGTGGCAATGCCTTTGCTGAAGCAGCTGGAGAAGGATGGAGCCGTTAAGGGCTTGAAGCTGAACGGACAACCACCCGATGATAACTGTGAAATTTGCCTCCTTTCAAAGTTCACCCGTTTCCCCTTCCATAGTGTGGCTGGCAGAAGCAAAAAGCCATTGGAGCTGGTCCACATGGACTAGGTGGGGCCGCTGCCGGTGCAAGGGCACAAAGGGGAGCGGTACTTCCTAACCATAGTGGATGACTGGAGCAGGCTAATGTGGGCGTATCCGCAGAAGCAGAAAGATCACGCCGCCTCCACGATTCGGGACGATTGGCTGCCGATAGTGGAGAAGCAAGCGGAGTGTGTGGTGAAGCGGATTAGGACAGATCAGGGTGGTAAGTTCCTTGGAGCTGAGATGACGGCCTGGCTCAAGAAGCAAGGCATCCAGAGGGAGCTGACCACGGCTACCCCACAGTCCAACGGTGTAGCAGAACGGGCGAACCGGACAATTCTGGAGACAGCTAGGGCGCTGCTCATAGAATCTGGGCTGGGCAACTTGATGTGGCCCCATGCTGTTCGGCACGCTACCGTCGCTAGGAACAGGGTACTCACAAAGGTTGGGGATGACTCGTGGGTGCCGTTGGAAAGGTGGCTTGGGAGGAAGCCGCCGGTGGACATGCTGAGGGTGTTCGGTTGCATGGCAGTCGCTTACGTCCCCAAGACCTACCGCAGTAAGTTGGGGGCGAGTGCAATCTGGTGTGTGCATTTGGGGCTGGCTGATGAGAGCAAGAGATGGCCGCTGTGGGAGCCTTCCAAGGGTGTGTTGTTTGACAGCATAGATGTGAAGTTTGTTGAGGGCATGATGTATGGGAGCTGGGAGAAACAGCCGGAGGCCAGGGTGTCCCAGCAAATGGAGCAGATCACCATGCAGCTGGACCTGACTCCTAGTGTGTGGGAGGAGGGAGAGGAGGCAGCTGCAGAGGGTGGTGATGGAAAGAAGGTACAGGAGGCACCTGCTGGTGGAGAAAATGATGTGGAGACTGGCACTAGTGGAGCTGCTGGATCTGAGGAGAGAGAGCAGCAGCAGGGGAAAACTAAGAAGCCGAAGGGTGTCGTTATGAAGGGATGGAAGACACCCGTCTCCATGCCAGGACGTACCCGTATGGCTACTAAGAAGCTGACTGCAGGAGCTGATGTAGCGGAGCAGCAGCTTGGGACCAAGGAGGCATTGCTGATTCTACAACATGGCTATGACCCGGATGAGGAGGATGAGCCTGCGTACTGTTTTGTTGCCCCTGCACCAGAAGAACCAGCTAGCATGGAGGAGGCATTAGCTGGACCAGATAGGGAAAAATGGCTGGCTTCTAGGGATGCTGAGTACCAGAGCTTGCTGAGTACAATGCAAGTAGGTGCTAAGGATCAAGACTGACGACAAGGGGCAGGTCACCATCTACAAGAGTAGGCTGGTGGCTAAGGGGTTTATGCAGAAGAAGAAATGAGATCTTTGCTCCCACTGCCAAACCTCCTACCCTTCGTGTCTTGTTGGCAGATGCAGCCGTTAATGGGAAGTTCATTATCCAGATTGACATATCAAGGGCATTCCTCAACGGGATTTTAGAGGAGGAGGTGTTCATGACGCAGCTGCCTGGGTATGAGGATAGTACGGGCAGGGTGTGCAAGCTGAAAAAGTCCATCTACGGCTTGAAGCATGTGCCACGCTGCTGGTACCTGAAGCTGGCAGCTATTTTAGATTCAGGACCAACAGCTATGATGAGAGCCTCTTTCTCAAAGGGGAGGGGGAGAAACTGGTGCTGTTTCTGGTCTATGTGGACGACATTCTTCCCTTCTGCAGCAGCATGAAGGAGATCCAGAAAGTGCAGCAGCAGCTGATGGAGAACTTCAAGTGGAAGAAACTTGGGGAGGTAAAATACTACCTCGGGATGCACGTAGAGAGGGATCCAGATCACAAGTGGTTGAAACTGCACCAGGAGAAGTTCATCAAGGAGCTGGGGGAGAAGTACGGGATTGAGAATAAGCGCAAGGTTGCAACTCCCCTGCTAGCAGAATTCAAGCTTGTGAAAGCTGCAGAGGATGAAGTGGTTGAAGCCGAGGAGCAGCAGCAATTTTAGTCCTTGGTGGGCAGCCTCTCGTATGCAGCAGTTCACACGAGGCCCAACATCTCTTTCTCGGTTGGGCAGCTGGCTAGGGTGGTGTAGAATCCATCAGAGAAGCAGGTGGATGCAGCTGAGCGTGTGGTGAAGTATCTGAACTCCCACCCAAGCATTAGAGTTCAATACTCCGCATCTGCACAGGTGAAGCAGGAAGGGGTTGAGGTGCTGGAAGAGAAGTTGGAGAGGCTTGGAGAAGGCAAACTCTTTCTCACTTGCTTTACCGATGCAACTTGGGCTTCTGAAGGAAGATTCTTCATCTGTGGGAGGATACATCTGCGTAGTAGGGGGAGGACCGGTTAATTGGAGGTCCAAGAAGCAGACGGAGACAGCAATCTCTTCCGTGGAATCAGAGTACATGGCAATGTTCCACGGGGTCAAGGAGGTGATTTTGTTGGTTGCAAATTCACATTGCACTATATCCTGCCGTCTGTTTGTACGAGTATGCGTGTGCAAATGTATTTGGGTGTGAATGGAATGTTCGTGTGTTTGTTTGCTTTCGCAGTTTTCGCTTGATGCATTTGCAGGTACTCGTCCAATGTGCGCTTTGGCACAACATTGTACGTGCTATGAACAGTACAAGCAGAAAGAACAAGCTTGCAAAGGAACCCAAGATGGAAGCTTTGCGGTTCAACTTACTTAATTGCGCAGATTCAGTTCTATCCAACTCAAAATTGTACTAATTTATTTGGTTGACTATAGTGTAGCAGGGCAGGCATTATAGAGGTACAATTTAGGTGAAGGTTTGATGTTGTTTGTCTGTATCTGCTTGCTACAAGGCCAGGGGAAACCAGAGGAACCAGCATTTGGCTGGTTGGGCAAAGACAAAACAGGTTCTGTTTTTAGGACCTGAACCTGGTTGTTGTTTTCCCATGTTGGAAAAACAGAACCAGAGGTTGTTTACCAACCTACCACCTGCTATTTTATCCAGCCAGGTTGGTTCTGTTGCTTGGAATTATTTGGGATCATCCCTGGTTGTTCCCAGGTTGATTCCGAAGGTCCTTGCTAGCTAAAACTATTTATTCCTTCTCTGGTTGTACCTGAGTATAGTGAAATTTATTCAAGCGAATTCCTTCCTTGCTGGAATTTCCTTTCTACGCGGTGCGACGGCGGGATGCTACCTGAATCAACGCTAGTACGC